CACACACACACACACACACACACACACACACACACACACACACACACACACACACACACACACACACATACACACACACACACACACACACTCACTCCCTCACTCACAATCAAACAATCAATCAATCAATAAAAACCTTTTTTTTTAAGTTTTTCATTTATTTATTTTCAAAATTTGCATTTTTTTTGTTTTAAAACACCTCATTTCTCTGCAAAGAAAACAAATCCAATTCGCAAAAAAATACAGGGTACTCAGTGACCATATATCTCATGATAAAAAATGTTAAAAAAAAAATCCTGCTTTTTTTTTTTTAATTATGTTTAAATCGATTTTTTTTTTTGATTTTTTAAAAATCCTAAACAAAGTCGGATCCAAAAACAAAAAATATAGGGGTGTAGGGTTTTCGAAGCCCCACACCCCCATATATATATATATATATATATATATATATATATATATATATATTTGGATTATTTTTAGGGAAAAAAAATAATAATAAAAAAAACAGGCCGCGGACCGGGCCTCATCGGCCGCGGCCGCGGCCGAGATTTTCGGTCGCAGCAGCCGAAATGCCCGCGGCCGCGGCCGTGGGTGTCACGTAGCCTCAAAGTAACACCCTCAAAACAACCGGTCTCAAGTCTTTAGCTTCCTAGGTGGATGGTCCAAGCCTAAAACGGTTCATGCGGAGGCTAAACATCAACTACAACTCATTGCCCTATTAAAGGTAAATAGAATAGTCCAGGCGTTAGCTCCCTCACTGTTATTCTGACTACCTTTAAGATCAGATACCCTCCTCCAACAGGTGCCATGCAAGTCTACTACTTCCCATAGTCCTCTCTATTGGGGCCTTACCACGGTTCTCACTACATCTCCTTACTGCCTTATACGCCTAATTTCAAATATACCATGCGGAGCAAGCCTCAGACTTCTATGGCTATACAACTCGAGCAACTGCTTAGAACTCAAATTCCAGGATCCCAATTCATACTCGCACAGGCTCTCAATATCCTTAGCCTAACTCTCCTCGAAGTCCCTTGACGACTTCTAACATAGTAGGTTTTCTTTACTCATTCTATGCCCCGCCAAAGTGCTATATTGCACCCTTGACCGCTCGGGTAACTTCCCTTAGCCATTATGGGCACCTTACGACCAACTCCCGCAACCACCACACTTAGCTTTGTTGATACCACCTCACCCTACCTTAGTTGTATCGAACATACCAATCATCGCCCAAACACATCAACTATCGGGGTCAGAAGAGGTATCAACTTCAACTACCGTCTTACTAGTTAAAGTACGCAAGTGCATAGTCGAAGTACGTACGGGCATAGTCAACGTACGTGGCCACATAGTCAAAGCTTATCCCTATCGCGCCACCCTTATTGCACCGAACCAGAACCCACTCACGCGATCAATCCCTCACTCGCCTTCTATCCAACACCTTCAATCGATTAACCATAAAGGTTCAACAAAAACCTCTTGTTTTGCCTAGTTCTCACAATCCCATACCCGGATGTGGTTCCACCAGGGACAACAGTAGGTAGCCGTTATCCCCGGCAACGGCGCCACCTGTCGGGCGCATCGGTCCGGCACCGCATATGGCAGCACGGGACCCTCTCGGCCGCGTCACGCAGGAGTTGGACCAACCTCGTCAGGAACACGCAAATGGAGCTTCCTTAGGCCACTCCGGCCGAGTGCGCCATCCATACCTCTCACGAGTCCCTACGACAGGATAGGGCCTACGCGAGGCACAACTTACCTCCACCTTACGGGAGATGTCACCTCCCTTCGGTGGACGTATCCCCGCCGAGCTACCAGTCCACAGTACGAAAGTTAATCAGTTGCAATCGCAGAGGTGGACCAGCCGAGGGCGTTTCTCGTTCGCTGTAGCATAGGGGGTACGCGCGACTCGACGTCGGTCGACTAGGACGCATCCCACACACCACACGCACACCACTTTACAAACACAAAAATAAAATACACACACACGCACATACAACACGACCCAACACAAACAACGCAACAACGCTCCTAGCCCCTCGGTGACCATCCCATAACTCTCCGATGCTGAAATCGGATAGGCGTCGCGCGAGAGACTTGATATAAAACCGCGTGGTCGTAGGGCTAACTCATATCGACTTGCAATGCAAACGTACGCAAGCAGTCGCAATGGTGGCGTACTATGTAGTACCCATACTCATGCGGTCCTCGTTAATCTCGACGGTTGCATTCGACACTCAAGTGTCGGCTGACACGCGCCTTGAGGGTTAATATCTCGACGCTGGACAACCGCCATACGTGGTTGAAGACCACACACCCTCTTCTGCACTTTGTGCACAGTGGGTGGTACACAGGTCCATACCTGTGGTGGCAGTCGCTTCTTACTGCCCTGGAGATGAGTCTCACTCCGGGCCTGGGCGAAAGTCAAGGGTTTGACTTTGACGGTTGCCACGGATTACAACGTCCAACCATACAAACTCTAAAAAGCAAGGGTAAAAAGGGAACCTCCCTTCCCTCTTGAGACATAATCCAGTTAACCCTTATTCACACTCACAGTAGGCCCCTCAAATACTCAGGGCACTTATAAAT